AACTAGCTAAGACATTTTTAGTTAATCCTTTGGAGAAAGGCTTAACCTTGCAACCTTTAGTCTTGGCTTTAGGAAAATACCACATTTATCTGTGGATTGTCAAAGGCTTCAGTGTATTAATTTAATATATATACCTGAATATTAATATGAAAGCAATTTGCCAATAACTGCCAGTGGCCTCATTTGTTACACTCTGGCCCTAGAGGGCCTCGAACCTCTGACTAGTCTTACACGGTCTGCAACAACTATGCACTGTGTGATAGTACACAGTCAATAGTGACTAGTGCACTGTGTGGACTATGGCTGTGTGGATCAACAAGCTATCAACAGCACTGCAGAGAATAAGTATCCCAAAGCACTTAATTGTGCTCATGAGGAGCCTGTATAAACATCAAGAAGTAGTCATTCAACCAGAACAAGGGAACACTAAATGGTTTAAAGTCAGGAAAGGTGTGTGCCAGGGTTGTATTCTTTCACCGTACTTAATCTGTATGTGGGCAAATAATCCAAGAAGCTGAATTATATGAAGAAGACGTGACAATAGGGTTGGAGGAAGACTCATTAGCAATCTGTGATATGCAGATGATACAGTATTGCTTGCTGAAAGCAAAGAGGACTTAAAATACTGATGAAGATCAAAGACCACAGCCTTCAGTATGGGTTATACTTCAATGTTAAGAAAACAAAATTCTCACCATTAGACCAATAAATAATGTCAAGATAAATGGAGAAATGATTGAAGATATCAAAGACTTCATTTTACTTGGATTCACCATCAACATTTATAGAAACATGAGTCGAAATCAGACGATGTATTGCAATAGGCAAATCTGCTGCACAAGACCTCTTTAAAATATTCAAGAGTAAAGATGTCAGTTTGAGGACTAAGGTAAGCCTGACCCAAGCTTACCTGACTCAATAACCTCATATGAATGTGAAAATTAGACAATGAATAAAGAAGACAGCAGAAGAATTGATGCATTGAGTTATGGTGTTGGGGGAGAATATTAAAAGTACCATGGACTGCAAGATGAGCAAACCAATCTGTGTTGGAAGAAGCACAGCCAGAGTGCTCCTTGGAAGCCAAGATGGTGAGACTTCACCTCTCATACTTCGGACATATTATCAGGAGGGTCAGCAAAAAAAAGGAAGGTCCCCAATGAGGTGGACTGGCAAAATGGGCTCAAGCATAGCAAAGATTGTGAGATTGGTGCAGGACCAGGCAGTGTTTCATTCTGTTGTGCACAGAGTCGCTATGAGGCGGTCCCAACTGAATGGCACCTAATAACAACAACAACTTTACTAAACATGATGTCCCTCTCCATGAACTGATCCCTCCTGATAATATGTCTGAAGTCTCGTCATGCTGGTTTCTAAGGAGCATTCTGGATTCACTTCTTACAAGACAGACTTGTTTGTTCTTTCTTCTGGCAGTCCATGGTACTTTTAATAATTCTTTTCCAATACCATAATTCACATACATAAATTCTTCTGTGGTCTTCTTTATTCATTGTTCAACCTTCACATGTATGTGAGGCTATTGAAAATATCATGGCTTGGGTCAGTTAACCTTAGTCCTCAAACTGATATTTTTGCTCTTTAATATTCTAAAGAAGTATTGTGCAGCACACTTGCCTAATGCAATACATTGTTTGATTTCTTGACTGCTGCTTCCATAAGTATTGATTGTGGATCCAAGCAAAATGAAGTCTTTGACAACTTCAATCTTTTCTGCATTTATCAAAATGTTATTTATTGGTCCAGTGGTGAAGAATTTTGTTTTCTTTACATTGAGGTGCAACCCATACTGAGGGCTGTAATGTTTGATCTTCATCAGTATTTTAGTCCTCTTTGTTTTAAGCCAGCAATGTTGTGTCATTTACGTACTTTTTGTTGTTAGGTCTAGTCCGTTCCAACTCAAAGCAACTCTGTATGGGTTGGTTTCCAAGGAGCAGCTGGTGGGTTTGAATTGATGTTGGGGTTTGCAGTCCAGTGCTGATCCTACAGCACCACACCAGGCATCCCACTTACATAAAAGCAGGTTGTTTATGACCCTCCCCCCTCCAATCCTGTTGCCACATTCTTCTTCATATAATAGAGTTTCTCTGATTATTTGCTCAGCATACAGACAGTGTAAGTATGGTGAAATGATACACCTCTAGCACACACCTTTCCTGATTTTAAACAATTCAGTGTCTCCTTGTTCTTTTCAAATGACTAGTTCCTCATAAGCACAATTAAGTGTTATGGCATACACGTTCTTCATAACGTTACCCAAGGTTTGCTATGAACCACACAATCAAATGTTTTTGCATAGTCAATAAAGCACAATATAGGTTAAGCCCTGGACTGCTAACTGACAGGTCGGTGGCACTTAACAATAAACTTTCTGGGTTTCTCTGCCTTCAGTCAAGATCCATCTGATGTTAGCAATGATATTCCTAGTTCCACATCCTCTTCTGAATTGGCTTGAATTTCTGGCAACTCTCTGTGAATGTACTGTTGCAACCATTTTTTAATTATCTTCAGCAAAATTTTACTTGCATGTGATATCAGTGATATTTATTATCTCTGTATTCTGTGGGTCACCTCACTTTGGAATGGTACAAATATGGATCTCGTGCATTCGGTTGGCCAAGACGCTGTCTTCCAAATTTCCTGGCATAGATTAGTGCCTGCAGTGCTGCATCAGTTTATTGAAATGTTTCCATTTATATTCTGTGAATTCCTGGATCCTTGTTTTTCACCAATGTCTTAAGCACAGCTTGGACTTCTTCCTTCAGTTCTTGGTCATAGGCTACCACTTGACATGGATGAGCACTGACCTTCCTTTATGGTGCAGGGCCTCTGTGTGTTCCTTCCATCTTCTTTCCATGCATTATTCATCATTCAATATTTTGCCCATTGACTCCATCAATATTGCAAATCAAAACTTGAATTATTTTCTTCAGTTTTTTCAGCTTGAGAAATGCTGAGTATGTTCATCCCTTTTGGTTTTCTAACTCCAGGTCTTTGCACATTTCATTATAATATATGACTTTGTCTTCTTGAACTTCCCTTTGAAATTTTCTGTTCAGCTCTTTCACGTTCTCATTTCTTCCATTTGCTTTAGCTTCTCCATGCTCAAGAGCAGTTTCAGAGTCTCTTCTGACAAGCATTTTTGTTTTTTTTCTTTCCTGTGTTTTTAATGACCTTTTGCTTCTTTCTGTATGATGTTCTTGCTGCCATCCCATAATTTTTCTGGTCATCATTCATTAGTGTCTAATGCATCATATCTCTTGTTGAGATGGTCTCTAAATTCAGGCAGGATACATTCATAGTCCTATTTTGGCTCTACTGGAGTTGTTTTCATATTCAATTTAAATATTAAAAGTTGTTACTTTATTGATTGTTAATTGTTGTTGTTAAGTGCGGTTCCAACTCATAGCGACCCTGTATAGGGTTTCCAAGGAGCAGCTGGTGAGCTTGAACTGCCAACCTTGTGGTTCAAACTGACCTTGCCATCCAGAGCATTAACCCACAGCATCACACCAGGACTCCTGGTTGTTAATTAGTTGACCTTGAAATAAAGCGATTATCCTGGATTGTCCAGAAGAAGCCAATGTGAGTACAAGGACCTCCAAAGCAGAAGAGAAAATAAGAGAAGCGCAGCGCAACAGACGTGACAGAGGAGATGCATCGGGGAAATGAAGCAGGAACAGTCAAGAGATTCAAAGCAGCATGAGGGAGTGTACCCACCCTTGCTGGGTTTGAAGGATCCATCTGGCAGTGAATGAGGTGGCCTCTAGAAGTCGAGAACGACCCATGGCTGGCAGCCAGCATGGAAATGGGGACCTCAGTCCTGCCACTGCATGGAACTGCCTGGGTGTGGGGAAGAGGTCTCACAGATCTCTGGGCGTATGGGAATGGTGGGGGTGAGGAGGAGGGGGTGCCTAACACCAGGGCCTCACCTTCTTCTGCATCTTCTCCAGAAGCTTGCTCTTGGCCCTCACTTCCTCCTGGATAGAGTCGTAGACGTTCATCAGCGCCCAGTCCCCACTGTCCCCGTCTGAGTTCTGCAGTGCCGCCACCAGCTGCTTTCTGCGCTCATCAGCGTACCGCTTTCGCCGCTTCTGCTTCTCCCTCAGGTCCTTGTTCTTGGCCTGCTCCCCGCCCACCACCTGCTGCTCCAACAGCTGCAAGCTGCCAGTGCGGAGGAGAAAGCACACCTGACCATCCCTGCCGTTCATTGAGCATTTGTTACCCAGTGGGCTTAGGGTGAAGCACTGTCTCTTTAAATCCTTCCAAAAACCTCACTTCCCAGAGAAGTAAACTGAGGCTCAGAGAAGTGAACCTGCGTGTTCCAGGTCAGAATCAGGATTCCTTCCAGGTCTGCTGGACTGCTAGCCTGTGGTGGTCCTGTCTAACAGGAGAGGTGAGAATCTTCCTGTGATCCCTGAGCAAACCCCCCTCTCTCACAGCCCTACGCTGATGAGTATGCTGGTCTTTGCAGCAGAGCTGCGACCTGCACAAGGCCTCACAGCAAGTCTGGAAAGGCCAGCTCCTCACAGGGCCACAGGGACATTCACTGGGTGCGGTAGCCTGTCCCCAGGGTGGGCCAGGAAGACCTGAACCATCCTGCCCCCAAATTCCTGAAACCTGGGAAATCCGGTGAGCAACCCTCCATGTGCCCCTGAGCCATCAGGAGGGAAAGCTTGGTGAGGGCCCAATGGGGCTTTGGGGGAAACCCACATGCAACCCCCACTCCCAGAGAGGGTCCCAGCAGCCCAGGCTCCGGAGCTTACCGGGCAAGCACCTGCTGCTGGTCCACCAAGGGAGGTGCTGCCACCTCCATGCCCACACTCCCCCTCCTCAGGCCTCCGAGGGCCAGCAGGGGGGTAGGCTGGGCCACCGAGGACACAGCGGCCTCAGCTTTGGCCTCAACACCCAGCTCTGCTGTGGCCACTGCCTCCTCAGCCACTTCCGGGGGTGGGTCAGCCTCCTGAGGGCAGAGAAAATTCACCATGGGTGGGGGGAACTCAGTCCCAAAAGGGGTGTCCCGCCCTTGCTCTGCCTGGGATAAACCACCTTGGAGACACCCAGTCATACAATGGCTCCCCATTGATTTCTTACGGCTCCCACTTCTACAACAGCCCCCGGATCTGTCTCCCAGCTTGATCCAGGCTCCACAGCAGGATCGACTGCACCCCTCTTCTGGCTGAAGGTGCCCTTTCTGGCTTCCCATCACACAGTCACTACTTCCTCCTCAGGCCTGGTCCTGGTCCTGGCCCCCGTCCCACCCACCTGCAACCACTCTGGCCTCTGTTTCTGACAATGTTGAGCTCTTTTGAGCATGGGGTTTCTACACCTGGGGTTCCCATGGCCTTCCCTGGGTCCTCCTTGCTGCTTGGGTCACATGTTGGTGTCACTTTCCCAGTCAACGCTTCCCTGGCCCTTCCACCCACCATCTAGTGAGGGTCTGCAACAGGCCCAGACCCACTGCCCGCCCAGAAATCAGCTCCAGAGATTTTCTTTCTCCATAACATATGTGATCACAGCGCAGGGCAGTTCTCTGCTGTGTGTTATCACTTTGCCATGTGACACACATCTAGGAACAGGATTTTGGATGAGGATACTGAGGCCCAAAGAGGGAGGAGGCAGAGCCCTGAGACTCCTCCACACCCCGGGTCACCCCAGGAGGTACTCACGGTCCTGGGCAAGACATGGCTGGCTGCCTTGGCTTCAGACCTGGGGTCTCTGGACTGCAGCACACCCGTCAGGGAGGGGTGCTCGAGGGAGAACGGGTGGAAGCAGGGAGAGAGAGGACATAAGGCAGAGTCATCCTGGATGCCCAGGCTCCTAACCGCTGCCTCAACTCCCTGGACTGCTTGCCATTCCCACACGCTCTTATGCCTGCCCCGCTGAGAGGTAGGGAGGACAGCAGTGAGGAGATGAGGGGGAGAGAGACGAGACACACCTGCTGTGTGCCAGGAAGGTGCCACATGTGGGGAGCACAGCGTTACCCCCACTTTATAGATTATAAAACTGAGGTCCAAAGAGGTACCTGCCCAAGGTCACCCAACTGAAACAAGTGGTAGAGCTGGGATCTGAACCCAGGTCTGCCCGACTCAAAGACATGTGCTCCTTACACACACACAGAAGGAAAGCAGAGAATACGGTAGGGAAAGAGATAATTTAAGTTAAAAAAAGAGGATAGTAAAGTGAGAAGACAATGGATAAAGGGTTAGGGTGAGGGAAGGCAGCTCCCTGGGGCTCACTAAGGTGCTGGATTTCCTAAGGCCCCCAGCCCAGCTGCCTACGCTGAGTTTCCAGGTACATGAGAGTTGGGCTAAGGCTCCCTCCGCTTAGGCCTGGACACTCAGCAAACTCCCTCAGACAGCAGAATCTCCTATCTCCATCCCAAATGTGCTATTGATTTATGGAGGATTAGCTGGAGCTTCCCTTTCCCCAACTCCTCAGGCTGACTCCCAGAACCCTGTGCCTACACGAGCGGCTCTGCAGGATGCCCGCTACCTGCTCAGGGCGCTGGGGTGTGTCCACCGTGGAGGAGAGCCTGGCCAGCTTGGCCTCCAGCTCGGCAAATGGGTCCTGCAGGCCTGGCAGCAGCTCCAGAGTCAGCGGTTCCTCTTCCAGGAGGTAGGGCATGGCCTCCTGCAGGGGCCCCTCCGCCTCCTGCCTGAGACACTCACTCAGGAAGTACGTGTCCTTGGACCCCTCCTCAGGCAGTGAGAAGCCCAGGTTGGAGGGCTCATCAGGCCCGGGGAAGACCTCAGACCCAGATGTTTCCTCAAGCGTGGATGACTCATCTGACACAAAGGAGATCTCAGACTTGGAGTTCGGCACCACGGGCAGCTGGTCCAGCTGGGAAGAACTCTCAGACTTGCAGACCTCAGGCCTGGGTGGAGGGCGGGGCATGGAGCGGAGCTGGGGCTGGAAGGCCAAGTCGCACTGGAAAGCAGGTGAGGACTCATATCTGTTGATCAACTCAGCCCTGGACATGACCTCGGCCTTGTACATGGCTTCTGCCTTCAGGATAGCCTCTGAAAAAGGAGAATCGTCCTGTGGTTTTTTTTAAAGGATTAGAACAAAGGGAGTCTTTCTCCAGGTTGACCCCAAGTCCACCCCAAGAGAGCAGCCTAAGAATAATAGGAACCCAGCCCTCTGCCCTGAGTCTGGTTACAGCCACGGCATTCCCATTCTCCTCTCCCCCCACCCAATCAGAACTCAAACCGGCCTCACCCCACCTCTTCCAGGAAGCCTTCCATGACCAGTACCATAACCTCTCTTTTCTCTGAGCTCACTGGCCATTAGGTGTTGGGCTCTTCTCACACTGTCTTGTGACTGCCCTTAACATAAGAGCAGACCGGGGCCTTAAGCTGCAAATCTCACAGCCAGGCCTCCTGGTGCGTCCACTGCCTTTACCAAAGCTCGGGGTTCATGCCCCTGGGACATACTAAATCCCCACCAGAGACCAAGTAAAAATCACTCAGATGCCTAATGTTCAAACTGGGCCGGAGTGGACATTCTGAAAGACCTCTGCCCTTCCCTCTTCCTTGGGGGAGCGGCATCTTCCTCTGAGTTGGAGTTGGGCTCAGATCACACACAGAGCGTCCATGCAGCTCCTAGCTACTTGGTCCTTGTTGTTAGTTACCATCAAGTTGGCTCTGACTCGTGGGGATCCAAACATGGCAGCATTAGACTGCTGTGATCTACAGGGTTCTCACTGGTTGACTTTCAGAAACAAATTACCAGGCCTTTCTCTTCCTAGTTCGTCTGAGTCTGAAATCTGTTCAGCATCAGAGCAATAACTAAGCCTCCAATGCCAGCCGGCTGGTGGCTGTGTACTGGCTGGAAGTCAAACCTGGATCACCCACATGGGAGGCAAGAGCTAGCTATCACTGCCCCCCTTGGGGGTGGGGGGTTGTTGTTAAGTGCTGTTGAGTCAGTTCTGACTCACAGGGACCCTGTATGGGGTTTCCAAGGAGCCACTGGTGAGTTTGAACTGCCGACCTTGTGATTCAAACTGACCTTACGGTCCAGTGTTTATCCCACAGTGCCACACCAGGACTCCTTTGTGGCAGTAGTGGTGGTTGTGTCAGCACTGACTCACTGTTGTTGTTGTTAGGTGCCATCGAGTCAGTACCAACTCATAGCGACCTTCTGTACAACAGAACGAAACACTGCCTGATCCTGGGCAAACCTCACTACTGTTGCCACACTTGAGTCCATTGATGCTGCCACCTGGCCAATCCATCTCGTTAGGGGTCTTCCTCTTTTTCTCTCACCCTCCACCTTACCAAACATGATATCCTTCTCCACCAACTGGTCCCTACTGACAATATGTCTGAAGTATGAGAGATGAAGTTTGGCCATCCTGGCCTCCAAGGAGCACTCTGGCTGCACTTCGTCCAACAAAGACCTGTTGGTTCTTTTGGCAGCCCATGGTGCTTTCAATATTCTCTTCCAACACCATAACTCAAAAGCATCAATTCTTCTATGGTCTTCCTTATTCACTGTCTAAATTTTGCATGCATTTGAGGTTATTGAAAATACCTTGTCTTGGGTCAGGCACACCTTAGTCTTTAAACTGACATCTTTGCTCTTCAACGTTTTAAAAAGGTCTTGTGCAGCAGATTTGCCTGATGCAGTACGTCATTTGAATTCTTGACTGCTGCTTCCGTGAGTATTGAGAGTTGATTCAAGAAGAATGACGTCCTTGAGAACTTTTGTTAGTGGTGAGGATTTTCGTTTTCTTGACATTGAGATGTAATCCATACTGTGCTTTTTGATCTTCATCAGTAAATGTTTTAAGTCCTCTTCACTTTCAGCAAGCAAGGTTTTATCATCTGCATATCGCAGGTTGTTAATGAGTCTTCCTCCAATCCTGATGCCACGTTTTTCTTCATAGAACCCAGCTTCTCAGATTATTTGCTCAGCATACAGGTTGAATAAGTATGGTGAAAGAATACAACCCTGTCGCACACCATTCTTAATTTAAAACCATTCAATGTTCCCATGTTCTGTTCAAACAACTGCCTCTTGATCCAGGTACAGATTTCTCGTTCAGGAATACTCATACTTTGCAATGTTGTCCATAGCTTGTAATGATGCACACAATCAAAAGCCTTTGTGTGACTCACAGGGGATCATGTAAAGGGTTTCTGAAGTTCTAAGTCTTTACAAGAGCAGAAAGCCTCACCTTTCTCCCATGAAATGACTGGTAGATCCAAACTACTAACCCTGTGGTTAGCAGCCCAGCTCATAATCCACTCTGCTGCCAGGACTCCCTCTTTTACATCCCACCCATTTCCTTAACACTTGTGCCCAGGGCGCTCTCCTCAGAGAACCCTGCAATTCCCTTCCCTGGAATAGGACATCCCTTCCCTCACTAGGGGCCCGAACCCCTGTAAGCCTCAGTTCCACATCTGTAATATGAGGATTACGGTAGCCCCCACCTCACAGGACTGCAGGTAACACACCTGTCATAGTACCAGCCATACACAGTGATGCCCAGTAAATGGTATTGGTGACGTCACCAATATCACCATTACAAGATGGGGTTTTAGAACACTTTGGAGAGTACAAAGAAATCTCTTGTTTGCTAAGAGCAAGGAGAGTTTGAAGCATTTATTGGTGAAGATCAAAGACTACAGTCTTCAGTTTTGATTACACCTCAATATAAATAAAACAAAAATCCTCACACTGGACCAATAAGCAATATCATGATAAATGGAGAAAAGATTGAAGTTGCTAAGGATTTCATTTTATTTGACTCTACAGTTAACACCCAGGGAAGCAGGAGTCAAAAAAGCAAACAATGTATTCCATGGGGTAAATCTACTGCAATAGACTTCTTTAACATTGTCTTTTACAGCAAAAATGTCATTTTGAGGACTAAGGTCTGTCTGACTCAAGTCATAGTATTTTCAATCGCTCATAGGCATGCAAAAATTGGACAATACATAAGAAAGACCAGAGAAGAATCTGAATTATGGTGTTGGTGAAGACTACTGGACATAGTGTGAACTATCTGAAGGATGTCTGGGAAGAAGTACCACTGAAGCGAGCCCTCAGAAGCAAGGATGATGAGACTTTGTCTCACTTTGGGCACGTCATCAGGAGGAACCAGTGCCTGGAAAGGACATCACGCTTGGTGGAGTGGAAGGTCATTACACAGAAGACCCTTGTCGAGATGGACTGACACTGAGCTCAAACGGCAATGCCTGTGACGATGGTACAGGACTGGGTGGTGTATTGTTCTCTGTGGGTCACTATGAGTCCTAATGGACCCAACATCACCTAACAAGGGAATCTGTGCTTCCTAGCAGCGTGAGTATTGAATGATACTGGTGAGATGGAACATTCTAGAATGCAAAAAAAAAAAAAAAAGATAAAAACTTCCAGAAAAGTAAATGTTCTTGTTCATGATTAAATACTTATTCTGGGATGAGCTCAAAAGGACTGCAAAAAATGCAGCTACTCAGAGCAGGGTCTCCTCTGTCAACCACAGGTGGCTACAGCTCGAAGTCAGTCTTGAACTGGGGCCCAGCCTATGGCCAAAGCACCAGGATGTGGCCTTGAAAGTGAGAATGCTGGCTCTGAACTGACTGTTTACGTTCAAATCCTGGCTCCATTTCACAGACGGTGTGACCCTGACTGAGTATGTGCCCTCCATTTCCCTTTCTGTAAAATGGGGTGACTGCAGTATGAAGGAACACTGCTGGGCAATGGTTAAGCACTGGGTTGCCAACATGAAAACCCAGTGTCTCCCCAAGAATAAGGCGCAATGATCTGGTCCCATAGAGCTTGCAACCTAAAAAAACCCTGTGGGACAGTTCTATTCTGTCACATGGGGTCGCCATGAGTTGGAATCCACTTGATGACACCTATCAACCACGGTTAAAGAAAAGTGGACCTATTGTTGTCGTTAAGTGCCATCAAGTCGGTCCTCAGTATACAGGGTTTCCGAGGAGGGGCTGGTAGGTTTGAATTGCTAACCTTTCAGTTAGCAGTTCAGAGTTGATCCTACAGCGCCTCACCGGGACTCCAGAAGTGAGCCTGCTGTTAAGTGCCATGGAGTCAATTCTGACTCACAGTGACCCTGAACAGGGTTTCCGAGGAGCAGCTAGGTTTCAGTCCAATACTGACCCCGCAGCACCACACCAGGAGCCCAGAAGTGAACCAAGCACAGAGAAAATGTTCTGCAACCATCATTCCTAACAGGAGGTGAAGCAGAGCTGGCCCACCTGTCTCCTTCCGCAGGTTCTCCTCTAGGGTGGACAGCTTCACGTCGTACGAGTTGCGCAGGGCAGTGATGTCCTCCTCCAGCCGGACCCGAGACTCCTGCTCTGCCTCATAGTCAGCCTTCAGCCTGGCCAGGCGCTTCTCATACTCCTGGCGGAGGGTGGGGTAGGGTTGGCAGAAATGTATCTACTTGCTAGATTTAAGACTTTTCTCAGTTTTTCTCTATGTATGTTTTAATGGGTCCATATTGTATGTGGGGTCCCCGGTCCGTGTGAACAGTTAACCTGTTTGACTACTAACTGAAAAAGTGGGTGTTTCAAGTCCACCCAGAGGTACCTGGGAAGAAAGGTCTGGCAATCTACAGCCACTGAAACTCTCCTATAGAGCACAGTTCTACTCTGACACATGTGGAGTCCCCTGAGTTGGAACAGTAATTCATGTATTTGTATATAATCCATTTTTTATACACAGCAATAGATCATAAACACCTTTCTGCAGCAATAAACAGATTTTACCAAATGATCCTCAAGCCATCAATGGCAAAATTCCATTTTATTCATTTACTTCTCTCTCCTTTTTTGTTACCACCACCCATTCTTGTCCACACAGTCTCCTCCCATCTGGACCCCCATCTCCAATCTTCCTCCTGCCCCAAACCTTTCTCCACGCAGCAGCCACGTGTTCCTTAGCTCATGTCTGCACCTGCATAGGCCCCTCAGTGGCTTCCAGTGTCCACAGGATAAAACCCAGCTCCTAGGTGACCACATTGGTCACTGATAAGGGGAAGTGAGGAAAAAACAGCAAAGAAGCTGCGAGCTAAGCCCTACCACGTTCAATAAACTCCTGTGAACCCAAGTGGAGACCTGGTTAGCCAGCAGTGTGGCAAGACCTGGGGTCTCCTGGGCCCAGAGTCAGTGACATAACCACAGAGGACTAGAGTGGAGAGTGAAGCGTCCAGCTGTTAAGAAGAGAGGGCATTTGTACAATAACACCCACACTTGCAGATAATACCCACTTAACCTGGCTTCAATGACTGGATGACCAGAGCTCAACTAGAAGAAGAAAGAAGAGGAAAAAAAGAGTAATCTGATACAATTTGATGAACTTGACCTACACCTAT